TACTAACAGCTCCTGTTTATTCTACAGGAGCTTACAAAAAAAACATTGAGCACAGATTAATTGTTTTATTTGCGATTGTTATACTTGTACATAAGCTAACAACACTTTGGTCGTTCGAAGTAGGTCTATACAATACTCGAACCAATAAGACTCATCTCTCTCAAAAAAACACCTCAGTGAATGCTTTGGAAACAAATTTTTTCCCACAATCCTTTGCAGGACATTTTGTTGGTGCGTATATGCTAGGATTTTTTATTGTAAAACCCAGTGGGGCATCCTTTGGCTTTTTCGTTGGTCTCCCTGCTATATTCTTCACGCACCTTCCACAAAACGTGTGTCCACACTTGGATACAAATATTCTCTTGCTCAAATCATGGTCGGCATCTGTAAATGGATTTACGCAAAACCATGGTGCTTGTGTTTGGTATTGCTCAGCATATTTTGCAAAATTCAAATCGTATTTTGGATTACCTTTGAAATCATCAGGCGCCCCCTCTCCTAAAGTGACACTGCACAACTCACATACAAGATCTTCACTTGGATCAACTTTGTTTGTATGCGTTCCTTTGGCGTTTTCTGCTTCAGCAAGCTTTTGCTTCTCTGCCATAAATTTCCGATTATAGTTTGATTCTCTTTCTCTCCTCGCATCAACCGCTCGATTGTTATCTTCCTCTATCCTTTGCATTATATTGCTTTCGAGAACGTCTGGTGGCAAGTCAGCTACGCCAAACAAATTGGAAAAAAAGAAATGCTGCAGTGGATCAGGCACTCGAATGTGAAAATTGATTCGATTAATGAAATCAGGAATAGGCCTATGCGATAACGAGGAGCCACTTCTTGAGCTTCTAACGGGCCGATGTTGATTCTGTCCACCACGACGACTGCTGGTCGCACCTTGTCTCCTATCACCACCAGTGGACAATGCCATATTACCACGAGAATGCTGAGCCTCCCTCCGTGATGATGGCAATTGTACCCCTCGATGACCCACGTTACTCCGAGGCGTATGCAGGCGCGTCGCTCGCGCATTGGGAGGCATAGGTATATGTCCTAGTCGCCTTCTGACGTTACGGGTTGGATACCGATTGTCCATCGGGTGAATTTGTTCGTTACTTGGATAAACCGATTCAAATTCAGGATGGTAGGCAATATGTCCAATAGGAGTGTCGATGTGAGCTTGTGGTGGTGTATGGCTCTGTCGTACGCTGGTTATTTCCACATCATCATCTCCGTTTCCCGACTCTTGTAAAGTGTTAGTGATATATGGCGCCTGACTTGCGTGACTGTTTATTTGATCTGTATTTGATGCCAGTGGCGTTCTATGAGTCGTGTTGATGGATAGTATCTCTATATCATCATCACTGTCGTCCTCCTCTAAGGTGATTGCTGTAAGTACTGTTGGATTTCCGGAACCTTGTCCCGTGTGATTCCTTGTTGTGGGCAGCGGATTTCTTCCGTGTTGTTGCACTTGTGCCTGAGAGTATTCACGCAGACGCAGATGCCGCGTTGGTGAATTTTGCCATCGACTATGGCCGTTGGACGGATTCATCAGGGCATTGTCATCTGAGGATATATCTATTACGGGTGGCTCTTGACCACTTTCCCGTCTCCTTCTGCGGGTAGAGTCTCCATGCGGAGTTGGCATGTTTATGTGACAGTTTATGAAAGTAGTCTTTGAAAATGTGAGGTTTTGAGTTTGCACCGACTCGTTACCAACATTTATCGGCAACACCTATGAAAACGAAAACAAATGATTTCTGGTTTTCTTTTTTTTCTGTCTCGCCTTATCAAAAAAAAAAAACAAAAACGTCACGCACGTGATTTCATACCCTGATTGACCTAAATGGTGTACAGAGTCTATCTAAATCTGCCTTTATTGATACAAAGTCATACTACATACCTAGCCTTTGCGTGACACCAGCTACTTTTGCATAGTGAAATTCAAATTCAAGCTATGTCCGAGCAATTTGATTTGATCAAAGACCGCCTCTTTGTTCAAAATCACTTCCTCTTTATCTTCTTCAGGTTTGACATTGAGTCCTAAATTAGTCCTGAATTTCTTTCTTGACAAACTTGACGGAATAAACAACCCCCCAATTACATTCTTGCCGTCCTTACGCAAACCGGTAAACTTTTGCGTTGAGAAAATGATGGCATTTCCAAACTTGGCTTCCAAATCGCGATAAAAAGCTTGTACAAAGTCGCATTTGGATGAAATGTCATCGGGATACGAAGTTAACGGCTGGACTAAGTTCTTGAACGCGTCGGTGGGAAGAATACCAGACGAGCTGGTTAGATTTTGGAACTTCACGTCCATGACGAAATCATAATCCTTCAATGCTGGAGTGAAAATAGAATCCAAAAAGGCTTCATTGTTACCCTGAGATGACAATAACGTGGTTGCCGCTCTCGCAAGTGCAGTCAATCTGGCAGCAATAGGTAAAGTGAGATTGTTCGACCATAAAATTCCAGACGGATCATCTTTGGAACCAATAAACAATTGCGTTTTTATACCAGCTGGATCTGCTTCTCTGATTTTGTTGAAGTTTTGCTCAATGACTCTATAAGCCTGGATGGTTAGCTTGTCACTTAGCGTAGCGTCATCTTCTGCAGTGCTTTTAACAGCATCCAATATGAGAGGTGTATCACGCCAGTTCCAATTTGCCAAAAAGAAAAGTACCTGCAAAAATCCATTCTCGACCGAATGAGGGACTGAATAGGGAGCAGGATCCACAAATGGCTTCAATGCAACCAATTCCACCAACTCATCGCTAAAATGATTGAGAAGTAACTGCGAATCGAGCCATTGCTTAACTAATCTAACGGTGGGGGAGTAGTAGGGGAAATGTTGGGCTAACTGAGAAATGGTTCGTGTGTGCTTCACCGACGCTTGATATTTTTGAATAAACTTTAAGTAAACGTCTTGTGCAATTGACTTTTGCTTATCGGCGTTGCTCACCGCTCTGAGGTACAAAACCTCATCTCGCTCAGTAAGAACCCGAAGTCTGAAGCCAAAACCTTCTGGGGTCAAAATGTTTAGCAAGCAAACCTCCTGATTAAAAGGAATTGAATCATCCAGCGTAACAAAAGTACTATACTCGGTTCCCCTCAACATCTCAGACACTTTAAGCAAAAGTGCGGTTTTTGTTTTTTCTAAAGCCTTCAATTCATCCGGCCACTTTGATGAAATTTCAAACTGGACCACACAGTCGTTCCAGTAGTCTGGATTGGAAACTGCAAAGGGGACGGGCTGTAGCAATGACGTATACCGCATAGAAGACGAGGCTGGCAACACCGATTTGATACTTAACGGCAACTCCAAACTGGTCAAAGTTTTCGTCATATTGTCGAACGAGTTTCGTAAAATTGTGTAGCTTGACAACGAATGTGAAATTTGATTCGAAGTGGTGGATAACAATGAGAGTGGGAGTTTCTTCTCGTACAATCCACTGCTCGTGTATATCGACTGCGCAAGTTCAGCCAGTATATGCATCTCCAAGGCGTATTTAATGATTGAAACTACCAAGGGTTCCCTATCTCCCAAAGTCCAGACCACACAGTGCTGAACGGAACCATCTTTGAATCGCCTTAAAGAGGCCCTTGTCCCCCAAAAGGATCTAAACAAAGCTCCCTTTTCTTTTTCGTTATTGTCGGGACCCTTGGTTACGACTTTGTCACACTCTTCCGGGTTTAGCTGTAACCCAATAACCCAATTATTGGAAAGGTCTGTGGGTTTTCGTTTATGCACAGAAAAAAAGCTTTTGACTTTATCCTTCCAAACACTCACAACATTCACTCTCTCGCCCAAAGCTCTCTTTAGAAGAGTGTAGATCCGGCTCTTCATGTAGTTGTCAAAGGTTATATATCTGATCTTCTCTAGTGGTCCAAAAGTTTCAATCGCGTTTTCTTCTATGGTAAATGACAAAAGTATGTCAAACTTGAGGAAATCATAATTTGATTTCTGAAGTAATATTGGGTCAAATCTGTCTTTAACCACATCGTTGAGCAATTCAAGCGTTTGAACTGCCTTCATTTTGAGATTTTCATACGAAGCCGGCGTCATTTTCCACAATATATTGATCTTGGTATTCTTGTCAAAAATTGTAGGAACGCTGAATCCGTCTGCTTTGAATTTTGCTGGGACTGCTTCGCCTATCTCAGATGAAAATGACAAGTACCCCGAAATAAGGTTCATTGTTGCCAAGTACTTGACTGCACCTTTAAACAACTGATAAGAAGAATAACCAGACAACAAGATCCTATTTCCATTCACTCCCCCGCCATGAAGCAATGCGCTCATTAAAATTGCAAATTCAAAATGTCCAAATCCGCCCCCACTAAAAGTTGAGTTGAAGCCACGTTGGTGCAACCACAACCGTCCTAAGACACATGCATCCCTGAACGAGTCTGTAGATTTCTTCATGGAATACAAAAATTTGAGATAATAATCATAACTAGATTGCATCAATATACTCGAGTTGTACAACGGAGTGGGCGGCAATTCTTTGCTCTCTGATTGAATTCGAATGCAATTTTTATCTGGAAGTAGCTTCTTCGACTCAAAAACATTGAATGGAAGAGCCGGGATTAAATTGATTTTGTACTTTGTTTTGAAGAAGATAAGATCGTCGGGGTTTTCGGTTTGGATACTCTCAATATGTAAAATAGGACACAAGACGTCATCGTTGAAGAATGAGTACGTGATTTTGACGGGAAGGTTGTTCTTTTTCGTCAAGGGAATTAGATGGTCTGCTAAATAAGCAAGGTAAAACGCCCTCTTGTGCAAAGCCCTGAAATTGAGATAATCCTTTGGTTGAAAAATAGACCTTGGCATTGTTAGTGCGACATCAATTGACAGACCTTGGCTAATTCCAGTCTTCAACCCATACGAACCAACCAAAGATAAATCCTCTGGAGGTCCATATGAAAATGAGTACTTAACATTTGTAGGCTTTGGATCAGGGAATGGTATAGCCACCTTTTTGTGATTGAATAGTCCTTCTGCTTCATGCAAGGATAAATTCTCAACTGCCGGAATCTCCTTGATCAAGTCGTGTAATCTATGCAACACCTTCTCCATAACTTCCTCGTGTGATTTCTTAACTTTTACCTCCTTCATTAATTCATCGATCTGTAGTTTGAAAATGTTCGACTTGAAAAGTTCTGCCGTCTCTCGTGCTACTTGTATGTCTTGTGCAGTGAGTTGAGTTTTACCTTTCTTTGATGGTCTTGCTTGGAGGGCTTTGTCATCGACGTCATCTTCATCGCCACCATCTTCATCGCCACCATCTTCATCGCCACTGGATTCGTCCTCATGGAGGTCATCTTTGATTTCGTTGCCATCAAAGTGAGTTTCGTCCTCAATAACATGTCCGTTGTGGTTACTATCGGTAGCCACTATGCCATTTGCAGCTTCTTCAGATGAATCCACTACCTTCGCAACCTTGTTTTTGGCCCCTTCAGTGAAATCAGACTTCCTCTTAACCATTGTGAAACAAGTCAAAGGTTTATATGAGGCAGAGGTTGGGCTGGATTAGACGAAGCTCACTTATATTGAATTGATAAAAGTGAAGGTTGAAAATTCTGACACCTCTTCGTATTCTTTCAAAAAAAGCTTCTCAGTTTTTTTTTTTTTTTTTTTTTCTCTCTCTCTCTCTCTCTTCTTCTCTCTTCTCATCATAGATTATTATTCGTTTTTTTTTTTTTCGTTCTTTCTCTTTTTCCTTCTCCTCCTATACTTTCTTCTCCTTATCATATTGGTAGGCTATATATGTTTCTCAAGTATCCATGTACAACAACACTGTCTCTACGCTCTTGGTGCAAGATTATAGGAAAGCTAGTTTGTAACAGCAGTATTCAAACCTGGTACATATCAGTTCTGCGAAACTATTGTTTGGTCTTGCACACGACTTTTGCATCGCTACCAAAAGTACTAGAATCTTTTTCCTTGTGTATACGATCGTACTTCACGTGTTAAAAACCGTGTTTTTTTGGAAAAAGGTATGAGCTATCGATGTCTTGTAAGTTGGATTTAAATAATACCAATATACACCAATTCATCTAGCAATCGAAATTGACAAACATTTAGAAAGTTTCTCGACACAGCTCACATTTCACAATCGAGGATAAAACAAGCATGTATTATTCAGAGGAACTCGACTTGCCCAGGACAGATAAGTCGAGGTGGAGACTAAGAACAGACCCAGTGGGTAGGGAGACGTGGCACTACATAGAACCCGAGGAAGTCAATGAGGAGCCACAATCAACTTTTGTCAAATGGCTTCTAAAAACGGATGATTTTGTACCTCCCCCAGCTGCCTCAACCGAAACTCCCTCTGAAGCGATGCAAAAGGGTGCAGACTTTCTCAAACTTTTGCAATTGGAGAACGGGATTTTCCCTTGCCAGTACAAAGGACCCATGTTTATGACAATCGGATACGTAGCCGCTAATTATTTCAGCGGTAATCCTATTCCTGAACCATTCAGATTGGAAATGATAAGATACATTGTCAATACTGCTAACCCAGTAGATGGTGGATGGGGATTGCATTCAGTTGACAAGTCTACTTGTTTTGGCACTACGATGAATTATTTGTGTCTCCGATTGTTGGGATTGGCTGCTGATCATCCAGTTCTAATTAAGGCTAGAAAAACTTTACACCGTTTGGGAGGTGCTATAAAAAACCCACACTGGGGTAAGGCGTGGTTGGCTGTCTTGAATTTGTATGAGTGGAAAGGCGTCAATCCAGCACCACCAGAGTTGTGGACGTTACCTTATAGTCTACCAATTCACCCTGGAAGATGGTGGGTTCATACGAGGGCCATATACTTGCCTGTGGGGGGTTACTTACTGGCAAACAAGGTGAGTTGCAAGCTAGACTCCACATGTGAGTGTGAGTGTGTGTGTGTGGATCAACCACCAATTAATATGAAAACTCTTAATAAAGGTTGAAATGGTCTGAGTGTTTTATTGCAAATTGCNGGCAAACAAGGTGAGTTGCAAGCTAGACTCCACATTAAAAGAGTTAAGGAACGAGATTTATTTGCCCAACCAATTACCGTATGAGTCTATAGATTTTGGAGCAAACAGAAATAATGTTTGCGGCGTTGATTTGTACTATCCACATACAAAAGTGCTTGACATGGCCAATTTTGTATTGAGCAAATGGGAGAGTATTCGTCCTAAGTGGTTGCTTAATTGGGTCAATTCAAGGGTCTACAATCTAATCGAGAAAGAGTACGAGAATACAGACTACTTATGCATCGCGCCGGTTAGCTTTTCAATGAATATGGTAGTGACATACCACCGAGAAGGACCCAACTCCAAAAACTTTCTTGGATTGTTGAATCGAATGAACGATGTATTATTTCACGGGCCTCAGGGTATGACAGTGATGGGAACCAATGGGGTGCAGGTATGGGACGCTGCATTCATGGTTCAATATTTCTTTATGACCGGATTGGTGGATGACGAGAGGTACCATGAAATGATTAGAAGGTCGTATTTATTCTTGGTTAGATCTCAATTTACTGAAAACTGCGTTGAGGGAAGCTTTAGGGATAGAAGACTAGGCGCTTGGCCCTTCAGCACTAAAGATCAAGGATACACCGTTAGTGACTGTACTGCAGAAGCCATCAAGGCAATAATAATGGTGAGGAACGATAAGAGATTTGAGGATATCAAGAACGCCATAACCGACAAGGATATTTTCAATGCAATCGAGGTTTTGTTGCAAATACAAAACGTGGGTGATTGGGAATTTGGGTCATTTTCCACATACGAAGGAATCAAATCTACCGTCTTGTTGGAGAAATTGAATCCCGCCGAAGTTTTCAACAACATAATGGTAGAATACCCCTATGTCGAATGCACAGACTCTTCCGTCTTGGGGTTGACTTACTTTCGTAAATATTATCCAGATTACAAAACGGAAATTATTCAAAACGCTATTGACAGTGCTATACAGTATATAAAGAGCGCACAGAGTCCGGTTGATGGCTCGTGGTACGGTTGTTGGGGAATCTGCTACACATATGCGTCCTTGTTTGCACTCGAAGCTTTCAACAGCATCGGGCTTAACTACTCAAATTCGGAGTCCGTTAAAAGGGGGTGTGATTTTTTGATCTCCAAACAATTGAAAGACGGAGGATGGTCAGAGTCTATGAAATCATGTGAAACGCATACCTATGTGAGTGGAAAAGAATCGCTTGTTGTTCAAACCGCCTGGGCATTAATTGGACTCATCTTGGCCGATTATCCTGAAGAAGAGCCCATTCGCAAGGGAGTTGAATTGCTCATGCGCCGCCAGTTGCCCACTGGTGAATGGGAGTTTGAAGACGTTGAAGGCGTGTTTAATCATAGCTGTGCAATAGAGTATCCATCATATCGGTTCTTATTTCCTATTAAGGCGTTAGGATTGTATGCGAAGAGAACGAGGGCAAGAAAGGAGGGAATGGTGTTNGGAGATACCAGGAACTAAATCCGGAGTCAAGCACTTATATGAATTGCTATAGAGGGAACCTACCTAATGAAGTTGAACCAACTTTTTGTTAGACTTTGATTGCCCTTTGGATAACCTGCTTTTACAAGAAATGTACATGTTGCGATAGCCCAGCTATCATACCACAAGTCCAAGATAAGGCGTTAGGATTGTACGCGAAGAGAACGAGGGCAAGAAAGGAGGGAATGGTGTTACACCCTCACGTCGGATCTGAATAATACACATTTGGGGCTTATGTGATTATAAGTGACTTTTATGTCTT